CACTCTTTCACAATGGAAATCAAATAGCTTAAAACATGAGATAATTACTTTCTCAAGAATAAACAATACCTAGAAATAAGATTTAAAAACTTGTAACAAACATGAGAATTATATATTCTCAAACTCACATTCCAAGAATACTATTTTAATCCACGAAACAATCACTCCCATTATAAAACCTTTATTTAGGTGTTGTTTGTCATTTTAAGTTCCATTTATAAAACTTTTATTTAGGTGTTGTTTGTCATTTTAAGTTCCCCATTTTTATATTGGATTCCAGTTTCAAAAAGTTTGTCATATTGGTTAAACTTTATGGAGTTTAAATATCGTAGAGGTTCTTAAATTTGGCTTTCTTTTTCTTCATCACACCTTTATTTTGTTTTTTTTAATTTGATATTATAATTAATGTGACTTCTTGATGTTGATTGCCAATAATCCCTTCTTTTGTACATAAAATGAAATCTTCACACTCTTTTGCGCTACCACAAAACATGAACATGATATTTTTACCGTAAAAGGTTAAAGATATTTTGAAAGAATTTGGTGGTCTATTTCCTCAAGAAGGACCTAAAGGCTTTCTACCTTTAGAAGGGATAAAACATCAAATAGATTTAGTCCTAAGGGCAAGCTTGCCCACTAGGTTAATCTAAAGGACTAATCTCCAATAAGCAAAAGAGATAGAATCGCAAGTTCATTAGTTATTGTAGAAGAGTTAGATTCAAAAGAGTTTAAGTTATTGTGTTGTACATGTGTCATTGACACCTAAAAAGGATGGCAAATGGAGAATGTGTTGTGATTGGAAGGCTATCAATAGTATTACTTTTAAATATAGGCATCAAATCGTTAGGTTAGATGATATGCTTGATAAGTTACATGGTGCAACAATATTATCCAAGTTTGATCTTAAAAGTTGTTATCATCTAATAAGGATTAAAGAAAAAGATGAATAAAAAACCGTCAAGATCAAGTTTAGGTAAGTGATTAGTCATGTCCTTTGGTCTTACTAATGTACCGAGCACCTTTATGCACCTTATGAATTATGTTCTTAGTGGTTGTATAGGTAGATTTTTAATAGTTTATTTTGATGATATCTTAGTGTATATAATGGGAGCATAAGTAATCATCTATGACACTTAAGGCAAGTCTTTTCCATTCTTAAGGATAATACACTTTTTGAAAACATAGAAAAATATATTTTTTGTGTAGATATTATGGTTTTTCTAGGATTTGTTGTGGGAGCCAATGGGGTTCATGTGAAGCCCGAAAAAATAAAGGTCATCTAATAGTGTCCCACTCCAAAAAGTGTGGGAGATATTAAGAGTTTTCATGATCTAACAAGCTTTTATAAGAAATTTGTGTAAAACTTCTCCAGACTAGCTTCACCTCTCAATGAGTTGGTGAAGAAGAATGTTCCTTTTGTTTGGGGTGAAAAACAAAAAAAAAAATTCAAGCTTTAAAGGATAAACTTTCTAATGCTCCTATTCTAAACCTAACTTTTCTAAAACTTCTAAACTAGAATGTGATGCATCGTGAGTAGGTTTAGGAGTTGTGTTGTTGTATAGGGTGGACACTCTATTACATACTTTAGTGAAAAATTTAATGTTACCTCCCTCGACTACCCCAATTGTGATAAAAAGTTATATACCTTAATCTGAGCCCTCCAAACTTGAGAGCATTATCTCATTACTAAAAAATTTGTCATTCATAGTGATCATGAATCTTAAGTATTTGATAAGGAAAGGAAAGCTTTACAAAATATATGCTAAATATGTGAAATTTCTTAAACAATTCCCTTGTGTTATCAAATATAAGAAAGGTAAAACTAATGTAGTTGCAGATGTCTTGTCTAGAAAGCACACATTACTTTCAATCCTAAATTCTAAACCCTAAACCTTAAGGTTTTGGGGTGAAAAACAAGAAGAAAAAAAAGTGGTTGACTTAAAGGATGAACTTTCTAATATACATGCTATAACTCTACGTGACATCTCTAAAACCTTTGAACTATAATGTTATACATCAAGAGTAAGTGTGAGAGTTGTGTTGTTGTCGGGTGGACATCCTATTGCATACTTTAATGGGAAGCTTCATTGTGCTTTCCTCATCTACATAAATAGTTATATGCCTTAATATGAGCCCTCAAAACTTGGGAGCATTCCCATTACTAAAGAGATTGTCATTCATAGTGATTATGAATCTCTTAGGTATTTGTGAGGATAAGGAAAACTTAACAAAAGACATGCTAAATGGGTGGAATTTCTTAAAGAAATCCCCTGTGTTATCAAATTGAAGAAGGGTAAAGCTAATATGGCTGTAGATGCCTTATCTAGAAGACACACATTGTTTTCAATCCTTGGAGCTCAAATTTTAGGATTTGATAACATAAAGGAATTGTATAAGTAAGACCCATATTTTAAAATAAATTTTGAAGCATGTGGCCATAAAGCTAAGAATGAGTTCTATCTTTTAGAGAGGCATTTGTTTAAAAAGGAAAATTGGGTATACCCTAATGATCCATTCAAAAGCTTTTAACAAAAGAGAGTCATGAAGGTGAACTTATGGGGTATTTTGGAGTTAATAAGACCTTAACCAGTTTGAAAGAAAGATTCTTTTGGCTTTATGTGAGAAAATATCTCCAAAGCTTTTGTTCTATGTGTATATATAGCTTACTTACAAGAAAAATCTAAAATAATGTCTCATAGACTATACACACCTTTACCTATTTCAATTCCCTTTGAATAGACATTAGCATGGACTTTGTCCTAAATCTCCTTAAAACACAAAAGGGAATGAACTCCATCTTTGTGATAGTGGATATTTTTAGTAAAATGGTCCAAAACTAAGAACTATAGTTTATGATAAATATACCAAGTTCCTTAGCCATTTTTTAAGGTTTCTTTAGGGAAGACTAAGAACTAATTTTTTTTTCTTCTATTATCTATCATCCACAAATTGATGGACAAACAAAAGTAGTAAATATGTATTTATCCACTATGTTGAGGGTAATTCTAAAAGGCAATCGAAAGTCTTAAGATGAATATTTACCTCACATTGAATTTGTATACAATAAAGTGGTTCATAAAACTACTAAATGATATCCTTCAAAGATTGCATATAGTTTCCTCCCACACCTATTGATTTGATACCTCTCATTGATAAATCCTCTACACCAAAAGATGTTAATTTTAAAGGAGAGTTGAGTCCTTTATATACATGAAAACACAATGCTAATGACTAACTTTTGATTCCAACTTTTAAAATTCAAATACTAAACACTAACGATAGTGTCAATGTCATGTAAATACTAGAAAAATTATTATAATTTCCACATAATTAACTTATCATTTGTTGATTGAAAAATTCTATAGGCACTTTTAGTAGAAAAAAATAAAAATAAATAAATAATCTTCTCTAACTTTAAAAATTAGTTTATGCAATAACTAGAGAATTTTTCGCATATTAATTTCTCAAAAAAAAAACATATTTTTAGCTACATATAAGTTAATTCTAATTTATAAAGAAGGTACTTCATTTTTCTTTTTAGTTTTTTTCTATAAGTATTTTTTTAGAGAAATATATATAAACAAACCCTAAAAGTAACAATGGTTCACGAGTTACGCAAAAATAGCCAAAAGAAATTATTGAATTAATAAAAAAATTATTTAAACAACATCAAACATTTAATTTCAAACAAATATGTCAAATAGTCTTAATGCGTCTTTGTTTCAACGTTGTTGATTTGCATCATAGTGCATTTCCCCATCAAAAACAAGAAAAAGATGTATAAACATGTATGAATTGCTTATGTTGACTCATGTCTAGGATCTAACACGTTACCAAACACACTGCTACACAAATAAAGGTCGATACAACTTTAATTAAGCATGCACGTATACATATAAAAACAATATTTCATTATAATACGAATATATGTTGATTTTTCTGACATAGACCACATGTATCCCCTCTACATATAATTCCATTTGAATAGAGTAAAATCATTATTGGCCATCCATTCTACTACTTTTGATGAGTGGTGTTTATAAGAGTGAATTGTGTAGATTTTTAATTGAAGGGTAATTATTATATTCGAAATACTATTAATAAAGGCATAACTGTTTAGGAGAAGTAGAAAAAAAAACTATTAATAAAATAGGTATTTCTTTCCTATAATATTATAATATATATATATATATGTATATAATATGAAAAATATCTATAATATATATATATATATATATATATATATATATAATTTATAGATTGAAAACACATGTATATTATTAATAATGTTATACATAATAACAAACTAAAAATATTTACCACTACGTGTTACTTATTTTTTTCATATATATTACATTATTTACATATTAGACTAGTACCTAATTATAACTTCTTATATCTCACGTACGATTTTAATTTTTACATTACATATTATTCTAAAATTATTTACAATATGTACATATTTACATATCATAGTTGTTTTTTTACTATAAAATTTACATAGGTGGTTGTATAATTTTAATTCCCAATAAAGTTATATATGTATATATATCTTTATTCTAATATTAAATAATTATTAATTTTGTAATTTATTATTAAAAATTATTGTTACATAATTAAAAACTGTTAGAATCTTTAATAGAATAGATTAAAAGTCTAAAATTATACGATTATAATTAAAAAAATATAAAAATATAAGAAATAAAATCATCCAAATACTATATGGGATTAACAACACATTTTTTAACAAGATTTAAAATGCATTTAATTTTTTTAAAACTTTTTTTATCTATTACAATGACAACATCAAATTTTAAAAGTATGATCTAAATATATTATTCCAATCCTTCATAACTAGACCAATTTAGTGCTTCAATTATTTTAAAATCTTAAACAAATTATTATAAAACAAGAAAATTATTTTTCTACTAGGGTTTCAATGTGAAACAAGACCTTAAAAAAGGTAAAACATGACATTACATTCAAAATATTAATTATTAACTTTGTCCTTGATTATAAGACACTATCAACTAAATTATACGATCTTTTAAAAAATTAATTAAGTTAAAAAATCAAAATTTTTAATAATTTAAATCATTTTTTTAAAATTAACCTTTTCTTTCTTATTTAATCATTTTTTTATCTAACTAATTAATATTTGAAAGAAAAAAATATCTATATGTCTATTTATTTTATCTAATCTTTATAAGAAAGAGAAAAATTTTATCTAATTAATTTCAGATATTACTTATCTTTTCTCCAAAACATTATTTATTAAATAAAAATATCTTAAAGAAAATATAATTTTAACCCTAAACACGAGTAACAAATAACTCAAATGCAAAATCCAACTCAAACTAGAAATATTATTTGCCTATTTGGTGCCTATAAAGAAATTAATAAAAAAAATATAATTAATATTATGGAGCTTACAAAAAGTGAAAAGTCTTATACAAGAATGAAAACTAGTAATTAAAAAAGCATATATGGCCCTAGTTCCGAACCGGATTTGAAATGGGTTCAATTCAATTGAGAATAAGGTGAAAAAGAGATCGAGGAGCGCGTTTCGGTCGAACCGCCAATTCAAATTCAAATTTCACGATGCTCTTCCCTTCACGTAAACGTAAACCCTAATCGGAGTCATCCCTTCTCCGAAGCCTCCCATGGCTTCCCGCAATCAGAACAGGCCTCCTCGCAGTCCCTCCAGTGTAAGCCCCTTTCCGTTTTTTCCTTTTTCATTTTTTCATGTAACCTAACGGTAGAAGAAACACACAAAGCCACACTGAGGCTTTAATTCGACGAGACTAGCACACGATTGAAGGCGTTTGTTTCATTTCAGAAAAAGGGTGGCGCCGACGATGTTTTCTCAGACAAGCGTCGAAGGATTGGCGGCACAGAGAGGATGGAGCGACAGGGCAGAGGCAGAGCACCCCTCGGCGCTCTCGTCGCCAAGACAGATGCTAACAATGATGGTGGCAGCGCCGACGGCGCCGCCGAGTGCAGCGCTGTTGAGTTCACCAAAGAGGAAGCAGAGGCGCTGCTCAATTGGAAGCCCAAGAAGGGTAACCCCTTTGATCACAAGGTTTGTGCTTAGTTGCCACTGATTCTTAATTCAATTATTGACTTTGGTTGCCCGTGAAGCTTATTTAGGTGTTTTGAATTTTATTTGGCAGAAAAAACTGGAGCAGATAGCAGATCACAATAAACGGCTTAGACTGTGTGTTCGATGGTACATGGGAGTCGAAGAAGGCTACATCCAAGAGAAAGAGAAGCTTCAGACCGACCTAGAATCTGCTGTGAACAAGTGCACTGATACTGGTCAGTCTTTTCTCTCCTATTTGGAGTGATTTATTTGTGTTTTGAGCACTTAGCGATGTCACGAGCTGTAATGTGACTATTACATCACAGTTGCTTCAAAGTTGGACTTTTGTTGCACATAGTGTTGATTGGGCTGCAGATCTAGCTACTAGGCATTGTTGTACACTCAGTTGTAGTTAGATTACTCGTAAATAGGGTTGTCTTCACTTCACTGTGTTTAGTGCTTTTATTGATTTTATTTTACAGAAGATTCCTTCAACATGACCGAATGGAAAGAATGTTTCTTCACATTCATTTCTTCTCCTAGAGCAAGATTTTTTTTTTTTACAAAATTTAAAATTAGTAAATGTTTTACTGTTTTTCATTGTGTCATCAAAACTCCAGAGTACTTTATAGTCTTGGGATGTAATTTTTTAAAAATTCGTGTCAAAGTAACTGTTGTTTAATATATTTACGCATTTGTGTTTTATCAGAGAATGCGATGAAGATTAAGATTGCAGAGTCGGATGAGACTATATCTAATTTGAGGGTGAATATTTCCTCTTTAGAAGAGAGAGTTGCAAAGGAAGAGTCGGATAAATTGGTAAGGTTGTTTGCTGCAATATTGTGTTTCGGTATCTTAAGTGTTTGTTTTCTTTTGCCTGATGATCTCAGTTCTCATGATTTGACAACTAGGAAGCTATTGCTTCTTATAGAAAAGAAAAGGAAGCCAGAAGTGCAGCTGAGCAGATGCAAGCTTCTATTTCAACCGAGCTTCAGAAAGTTCGGGAAGAGAAATCAGCTGCTGAGCAGAAGGTATGCACTGTTATAATCTGTCAGTTTACAGTTATCTGTTAAATATTGAAATCCACAACCTTGGATACCAACTTTGCAAAATCTATATTATGTTTATTGGATACCAATTTTTGTTTCCCCTTTTGAATCTGTTGTTTTTCAGGCCATTTCAAATGAGGACTTGTACAAGCGATCACAAGAGTATAACTTGAGTCTGCAACAGTACAACAGTCGCCTTCAGTCAGATCTTGACACAACTAATAAGGAACGTAAACAACTGGAGATGGAGAAAGCAACCATTGTTGAGAACCTTAGCAATGTGAGGGTCCACAACAAGGCATTGCAGGATCAGTTGACATCTGTTAAAGTAAGTTGTTTCGTCTGATCTATGATTTTAATGCTTGAGAAATTCTCTCACAATTTCAATATCGTATAATATTTTCAATAAAATGATTTAGCTTGGCATTATGGTCTAGCTTTGTAGTTCTTCTATTGAGTGTTGCGCTGGTAACATCCTTCATGTGCGCGCTTTAGATTTCAACTTGTATTAAATATTTTTAGTTGACATGGCATAAGTAAACTTTTCATGGAGAGTAGTGAAGTGCAAATAATTTGGATTTGTATTTTGCTAATATTACTATTGACTCCATATTGTCAATGCGAGTATCTTAATAGTCCTTTTTGTGTTGATTGGTTCTGTTGTTTTTGCCTTTTTTCTCCCAGGCTTCACAAGATGAGTCTGCAAAGCAGAAAGAATTGTTAGGAAATGAAAACATATGCCTTCGGGAAGAATTAAAACAAATTAAAGGTGATCGAGATCGCCAACAGGTACAGGTACTAGCTCTGACTGGAGAAGTAGAAAAATACAAAGAACATACAGGGAAAACTTGTGCACAGTTGGATACCTTGAAAATTAGAACAAATGCTCTCGAGGTTTGTTGTATTGTTTTGTCCCTTCTTTTTGGTTATTTTGATCCTTTTAGTTATTAGTAATACGCTTGTGTGTTCATTAGATTTATAAAAGATACTGGCTTTCTTTACAGGAGACATGTTCTTCTCAAAGGGACCAAATAAATATGCTGCAACAGCAGTTGATTACTGAAAGAGAGAAGTTGAAGGTGAGTAAGCTACGGGTGTGCTTTTCTTTTTTCTATTTAATCATTTTCCTTGTACCACGGTACGAGGCTCTGGTTGTTTGTAATTGAATTTTGTAGTAAGATGCTTCATTAAAATTTAACGGGGAATCAATAAAGGATTGAATATTAAAATGGTCTTTGTTGATTTTGGCTAGAAGTTATAACTAGTTAGTGCATATTTGTTGATTCTTGCTACCAGTAACATTAGTTGGTTTTGGCTAGTAGTAGTTTCTAGTTTGTGCATATTTTGCTAACTAAAACTAAATCTATTATTTTCATCTTGTTAGACGGCTAATTTGTCTGCTTCAGAAATAAGAACCGTGTTTGAAGATCAGAAAAGAATTATACGTGAACTACAGGAACGAATTGCAGAGAAAGAATTCCAAGTAATCGAAGGAGAAAAGTTAAGGAAAAAATTGCATAACACTATTCTGGTAATATTTTTTTTCATTTGCCTAAAATCTTACCTAAATCATTTTCCACTTACGAGTTGTTTTGCATGGTACCGATGATAATTATTTCTGTGTAGGAGCTAAAAGGAAATATTCGTGTGTTCTGTCGTGTCCGACCAATGCTTTCGGATGAAAGTTCTGGAACAGACATGGTTGTTTCTTATCCCACGTCAACAGAAGCTCTTGGCCGGGGCATTGATTTGATACAGAGCGGTATGTGCGCTAGCTTCTCTCTCCCCCCCCCCCCCCCCCCCGCGCCTTTTCTGGTGTTACTATAGTTTCCCGTAGTTTTGTACTTACGTATATGTAATAATTTCATCCTTTAATGATAAACAGGGCAGACGTATCCTTTTACATTTGACAAGGTATTTAATCATGAGGCTTCTCAGCAAGATGTTTTCATTGAGATATCACAGTTGGTGCAAAGTGCTCTTGATGGGTACAAGGTGATTATTTGTTTCCTCCTTTTGGTTCATTACTCTAGAAACATAATACTTAAAAAATAGGTAAAAAAATTAAACATGGCAATTTTTTGACATAAATACTTGCTTTTTGGCTACGAGGACTTTGTTTTAACTCAAAATTTCGTGGGGTGCACTTGTACTTAATAACTAAACCAAAATTGCATAAACTATTTGGTTTATTTTCAGTATTTTTTGTTTTTGGTCTTTTACCTTGTGCAATATGTTTGATTCTTGGTTTTGCAATTTACTGTGGGAATTGATATTTGATTGCTTTGGCTGCTGTTATCATTCATCTGTGGTCTGCTGGCCTTTACTCTCGTGTCCTGGCAGCCCTGATTTTTTTTTTATAAAATACACAACTATTTATCCTTGAAGTTAAGCTTATATTTTTGTTTATTTTTCTCCCTATTTAATATATGAACTGTGGGATATAATATCTCGGCCTCTATTTTGTTGAGGGTTTCTTGGTGTTTCGGTGGCTTGTGATTTGTTTCTTGAAAAAAATTATATATATATATATATATTTATATATATATATTCTTTAAATGCGTCTGAGTAATAGAATATTATATGCCACAATAGACAATTTCAACTGGGCCTTTTCTTTTGCTTTATATTTATGTTCTTTTTATTTTTATTTTGGTTGTTTTGAGTGCTACTAGATAAACAATGCGTGACCTGACATAGGGCTTATGGTTTGTTATGGCAGGTCTGTATCTTTGCTTATGGACAGACAGGTTCAGGGAAAACCTATACAATGATGGGTAGGCCTGACGCCCCCGAGCTGAAGGGGTTGATACCACGATCTCTTGAACAGATATTCCAGATTAGTCAGTCCCTGAAAGATCAGGGGTGGAAGTACAAAATGCAGGTTAATATACTTAATTTTCAAAGAGATTGCATATATTAAATAGATAAGGGAAACGATGACAAATTTTGTAAAATATTTGTAGGCTTCAATATTGGAAATATATAATGACAGCATCAGGGATTTGTTGTCATCAAATCGGTCAAGTGGTATTGACTCAGCACGAACAGAAAATGGCGTTCCTGCTTCTGGAAAGCAGCCGTACACTATTAAACTCGATGTCAATGGAAACCCATATGTTCCTGACCTCACTATCGTGGATGTTTGTAGTGCAAATGAGATTTCATCCCTTCTGCAACGGGCAGCACAGAGCAGGTGAAGTCATACTCGAAACCTGCAAATGCTTTTAGTTTTTATGTTGCGATGTGAAGATGTTTAATGAGCTTTTAGGACGAGCGTGCACAAAAGGGAAAGAACTAGTGCTCTTCCTTCCTTATTAATTTCAGAATAAATTGCATTATATTTGATTCCATTAGAAAATGTGACTTTCAATATATAAGATACAATGTCTTTACTTTTCTCTCGTTTCAGGTCTGTAGGAAGTACCCAGATGAATGAACACTCATCACGGAGTCACTTTGTGTTTACTTTGCGTATATGTGGGATTAATGAGGTAGTAGCTTTTTGATACGTTGGTACATCTACTGTTTTGTTTTACAGTTTCCTCATGTACTTTTCTCTCGTTCGTAGAGAACTGAACAAGAAGTGCAAGGTGTGTTAAACCTGATTGATCTTGCTGGAAGTGAAAGACTGTCGAGAAGTGGGGCAACCGGGGACCGGTTGAAGGAAGCTCAGGTACTGTATTGATTCATTTTAACTGAGCTTTATGTCAGTTAACTTTAATTTAACTAGTAAACAACTAACCATTTTTTCCTATTTTAACTGAGCTTTATGTCAGTTAACTTTAATTTAACTAGTAAACAACTAACCATTTTTTCCTATGTATCTGACAGTATATCAACAAAAGTCTCTCCTGTTTGAGTGATGTAATATTTGCTTTGGCTAAGAAAGAGGAGCATGTACCTTTCAGGAATTCAAAATTGACACACCTTCTACAGGTAAGCTAAGAAAATATGCATTCCTCATAAGTGTTTTCATTTGTTTTATTTTGTTAATTATTAGTAAGTTAGATAATGTATCTATTGAAACCTAAGATCCAGATTTCATTTCTGTGTTGGATGATGACTTAAGGTTTGTCTCGCTATTAAAATGAAAATCGTGGAAAAACTATAGTAGTCTGATACTACTCACACATGGATACTAATTGGCAATCTTTATAACAAACTGAATGAAGTAATGTCACTTTGTAAGAATGACAGCCTGAGTATGCATGGTTCCAGTGAATTGATTTCTATCAATAATTAGAATCAGCAGTCATTATTAAAGAGGATGCAAATAGTTGTTGGCTCTAGTATTTTTGACATGTTGAACTTAACAACGCCCTGCAAAATTGCGGACGAAATACTCCACGTGATGGTTAAAAATCTCATTTAAGAATCGTTTGGTCCACCGGCGATACAACTAGTTTTAAGATATTCGATACAGAATAATAGGATACTATATTTTCAATTTCAGAGAATGAAGGAGATCGGGTTTTAAGGATGATTGTATATTACTATTTTTGGTTCCATTTGCATTTATATGATTATACTTTGCTTATGTTGTATTCATGGCAGCCATGTCTTGGTGGAGATTCGAAAACTTTGATGTTTGTGAACATATCACCTGACCCATCTTCAACTGGAGAGTCACTTTGCTCTCTTCGTTTTGCCGCTAGGGTCAATGCTTGCGAGATTGGTATTCCGCGGCGTCAGACATCCACGCGATCCATTGATTCTCGTTTAATCTGCGGCTAAAAGAAAAGAGAGGCCACACTCATAATTCATAACCAAAATAATTGTTATTTGTTATGTTTTGATTGGGATAAAAGAAGGGTTTTTCTTTGATCAATGTAACTGTTAACTTGTAGAGAATTTAGCTTGTATAAATTGATTTTAGAGGCTTGCCTTTAGCCTCGGTGGTGTAACTGATGATTTGTATTTAGCTGTAACATGATAATATTCAATTTATGTGAGCAGCTTGTTAATTGTAACTTGTAAAACTCAACTATTTGATATGATTGAACTTGCAAGTTCATGAGATGTCACATTCTTAACAATTTATCATGCATGGTTTCGTGGTTAATCTATTAAGCCGTGTTTACAATTTTCTTTGCCATTAAAAGAATAATTTTAAGGTCCAAATTTATTATCATGTTATACATGTTGGATAGACAAAAACTTTGGAAAAGAGTAAAATACCATGCACTTCTATCGGGTAGGAGTATATGAAGACTTAAATATATAAATAGTAACATATTACCTTTTAATTTTGACGAATAAAAGTACTAATGCTCTAAAATTATATAAATAAGTAATAGTTAATTATTATAGGAGTGAAATTTCCCTTATCTTTTCCAAAACAGTAATAAAACAGTATTGATAATAAAATAGATCATTTTTTCCATTTGACACGGGAAAACAATAATGCTCAGGAGCTGTTTCAGATAAATACAGCGAAGAGAATGTGTTGTACCTTGTATAAGTTTCATATTAATGACGAGAGATACAAAAAAAGATAAAGAAAAGTATAATAAAATAATAGAATTGAGAGATAGAATGATAGATAGAAGACAAAAATGCTGTATCAATCATATGATTCCTTACATGATTAAGCATAAAAAAAAAAAAATCAAATATCTTTTTAGAAAAACCACCCTTCCAAAAAAAATAAAAATAAAACATAAGATCCTTTATTAGATGTAATTATTTATCAACAAATTATTTATTTGAGAGTTATACTTATTTTCTTTGATCAGTGTTACGTTAGAATCTTACGAATAAAAAAAATATAGTTAAGAATAAAGTTTTTTTTTCTATGATAATATTGATAAAAAATATTTATTAATTTTATTAAAAATTATTTTCTCTCAAAACTTTGACTATATTAAAACTTTACTATTAGTAACTAGTTAGATTTTTTTTATAGAAATTAGTTATCATTAAATTCAATAAATATTTCACATTAATAATATAATTAAAAAATAATTATTTTAATTAATTCTTATTTAATTTTTTAATTAAAATTATATATGTAATTATTGTGCATAAAAAAAGTTTTTCTCATTAAAAGAACTAGTTCTATCAATTTGTTATCTTTCTTGCTAAAATAAAATGTTTTTTACGGGAGATATCTGTACTAAAAATATATGATCCTTGACAAGTGCTATGACTTCCCAATTATTTATGCCGACTTATCTTTCAAACTTTAAAATAACAATAATATATTTTTGTTTTTTTTACGTTGAATCAATCAAAATTCAAAAGACATACAACTTTCAACGTCGGAAGGATTTTTTGGATTATAACTTTCAGAAGATTAAGCATTTTCTATGATTTTTTTATTTAATTTTCTCTCACTTAAAAAAAAAAATGAGGAAACGAATAAGTTTTCTTGTTAATATAACGTTTATGAGAGAAGCTTCTGGACTCAGTGGGCGCCCATAGAAGCCGAAGCTGAGGACCACATAGTTTGATGAATGGCCGTCAATGACTTATTTATTGAATCAATTCTTTACTTCATACAGATTCCCCCAAATCTTTTTCTTTTATCTCTTTGATTGCTTTTCTTTTTATCTTTTATTATGGTATTGGTAGGAGACCTACTCCCTCATAATTTTTTTTAAAATTTTAATTGTATTAAAATTATTTATTATTAATTTTTTTTATCAAACTCAATATTCGAATTTAAGAAATTGACTACTAATCACATTTTTTCATTTTCATTTTTTATATTTTTTACATGTTTTTCATTATCTACTTTTATGCTCTCCTTCCCTAAAAATTCAGATGTTTATTGTAGTAAAAAAAAAAAATTACATCGAGATGAGTATAATATAAAGCTTTTTATTTTTTTATTTTAAATTTATTAATAGATCTGATTAACCCATTTTAAATTTTGAGATTAACATATGTTTGAAAATTCATTCACACACTTTTTTATACATCCAAACAAAAAAAAAACGTGATATAGATGGACGTACGAAAAACATAAAAACAAACATTCATTAAATATTATTTTTAGTTATGAATTCATACTGAATATAAAAAATTAAATCTCATTTTTATGTTAAGAATCACAATTACTGAATTACTTATACTAAATCAGATATACTAATTAAGTAATTGAGTTAGACACTATTGTTGTATATACACTATATGTTAAACTTTTTTGTTTTTTTTTTTATAAATTAAATTTATTTAAAGCATTAAGTGTATGTTTACTAAAAAATAGTTATTTAATATCTTTTATTAATAAAGATTTTTATCATAAATTTGACAGTAATAAAATAAAAGAATTTATTTAACGAATTATACACATTTATATTTGAGTTTGAATTTGACATTAATTTTTTTTTGAAGTTAATATCATTGTGCTGTAATTACTTGAATAAGTTTATTTTTCCTTAAATTTATTTATATTTTATCATACAAGATTTTAATTCTGTACAAAAAAAAGTATACAAGATTTTAATTTGAATTTAGCTTTACTTTATGAGTACTTTGTTTTGTAGCAGAAGATCCTTGGCTTGTAAATCAAGTTGTCTGAGAAGAGTACATGGTGGTGGGTCTTGTCTTCCTAATCCATTGAAAATAAATTATTAAAAGATGACATGCTCTTATCTAAATCACCCTTATTTATACAGTCTGAGACAGTTCTCAACTCAAGATAGGAAGGTGCAAAGTTCCATCTTTGTGGCAGAGTCAATTCATCAAGTCAGAGTTGTGGTGAGAGAATGGAAGTCACAGAGCAGAACAAAGCCAAGGTGGTGGTGATTGATTCTTTCCAATCATGGGAATCCCATGTCACCCAGGCCTCTAATCAGAATAGTCCTGTAAGTAAGACACCCATTTTATACAAAAGTTTAGATCTTTTATTTTTTTTCACCCCGATTTGGAGAGTGTGCAAAAGGGGTATTTAGGCTTCAAGTTACTTAAAAATCCCTACCTGATTTTTTATTTTTGGTTTTGTAAATTATTATGTTTTTGTTTTAATTTGGGTTGCTGATTGTCTTGTTGTTTATACCTACGGCTTATGTATTTTGTGGGATGGATCTCCGTAGGTTGTCGTTCACTTCACTGCTTCATGGTGCATGCCATCGGTGGCTATGACTCCTGTTTTTGAGGAGCTGGCTTCAAGCTATCCGGATGTTCTGTTTCTCAGTGTTGATGTTGATGAAGTCAAGGTAATTCTCCTCTTTTAAACCTTGTGCTTGGGAGTCCCTTCTTAAATGTTTCTAGATGCACATTTTGGTAAAAGCATACACTCTTGCTGATTACATGTTTGATCACATCGTCATTAGTTTTGTGAGAAATTATGTTCATACAACAAATGTGTATACCAATTCATACAAATAAGAGAGATAAAGAGGATAGAGAAAATGGTGATAAAAAAAAAATGAGTGTTGTATAAGTTGGTAGTATAGTTTTGCTGTATGAGTATGAGATCTCTTAGTTCATTACTACTTTGTCTTTCTTATATGTCCCTGTTCTACTTGTGTGAATGCCCAGGATGTAGTCTCTTAAGTTTGATATTCAGTTTTTATTTTTATTTTTAATTTTTTTTTCTGATTTCAGCACGAATTATTGTATTTTTGAGCATTCCTCTCCAACCACACTCACCAAAGAAATGCAAAATTTGCATGACAACAACGACATCTGGGTAGGGTCATAAACACATAACTATCTGTCATGGTTGTGGGTTAAGTGGTTGGTATATTTGTAATCAACTGTGAAAAGATAAAAATAACTAGGATACATCTTAATTTGAGTGTACAAAAAAATAGATAAGTTAAAGCTTGGAATCTTGTCGGAAAAGATGTTTATGGAGATTTGTATGTAGAAAGAAGGGACATCTTTTCTGGCGAGATTCCAAGCTAGAGTAATGTAATTATTTTAAATGTAATTATTATTCCCTTTTACCCTCTAATCTAGGGATAAAAATAAGGAATAATAGAATAATGTAAAAAGGAGTGAAAATACAGGTGAATATTTTAAATGACATGTGAATTTTTTATTAGTGGGACAAATCAGATAGACAGATAGTTTGAATCCGTCTACTACATAGATCAAACAATTCACAATTTGATAATGTTTTATCATAATCATGTTTAAAGACATTGGGAGGTTTTAACACACTCATTTTCACATTTCACATTGGTAAGATATTGTCCACTTTGAACTTAAGCCTACATGATTTTGCTTATGGTGATCTCTCTAAAAGTCTCTTACTAACGAAGACAATTGTGTGTATAGAAACCATGTTATTTATCTTGTTCTATAGATGTAGAACTTTGATTGTATCCCAACACATCTTATTGACCTCCAAGTCTTTCTTAACGACAAGAATCGCACAGTGCCATAAAATTTTATTCTCCTTGTTTATGACAAAACCTTTTTACAGATGGACCTTAAAAATAGCAGAGAACATACCCTGTGCATAACTGCATTTCACATATAATTTATTGTTCCATTTGTAATGCATAAATTATTATGTGTTATCAAGTCAAATTTTGTGTCCTTGACTTGACCACATATGTTTGGTTTTTCCCTTGTTTAAACTGTCCTTTTTGCCTTGGTGGGGATTCTTTTTTCCCCTGGAATATTTTTAAATGGACAATCATTGGTGAAATAGTAAGGGACGAAGGAAGGTGCTAAAAGGATGGGCTGTTATTTCACTCCTGCTATATTTTAAATGGACTGTCTAGTGACTCGTCGAATGTGTATTGAATAATGTAACTAGGTAATATGCATCCTGAAATGTGTATCTAGTGCTATGTGGATCAGTAGTATGGTTTAATAATTGCTTTTGTTATTGATCAATATATATTTTAGATTCATGCAGAAGATCAAAAGATAGAATGCTACCTACCTGCCATGTTCTATTTATTTTTGTAATCCTTAAGATAATGGAATAACTTGCACCCCTTGATTACCAACTTGGATTTGAAGCACAGTTTCAAACCTTGTGTCTGCTACTCAAGAAAGAACTATATAGATATTCTACTGATCAACATCTTAGATCTATGTTTTTCATATTAATAACTGACTTATTAGATGGCGTACTTTTCCTGATTTTAAATTGATGCTTGGAGCATTGAAACAAAAAGGTTAATTCTTGTGTGATTTTCTCTAACGGTTTGTTGTGTTTGATGATGGCAACTAAATATAATGGAAATTTTTCTGGGGTCAGGAGGTAGCCACCAGAATGGATGTAAAGGCAATGCCAACATTTTTGTTTCTGAAGAACGGCGCCACATTGGACAAGGTGGTCGGTGCCAATCCAGAAGAGATAAAGAAAAGGATAGATGGATTGGCTGAGTCCAATCGTGTCTCACTGGCTTAGTAGTTAAACATCTGTATGATGTTTTGCTGTTGCAAGTTGTAAGACATGCGCTTGTGGTCCTGCACTGCACTATCATCTGAGTCAAATCTTTTTCTGATGTTGTATAAGTGTAATTTCCAAGTTTCATTAGCACAACACTTTGGTTAATGGTTAATACCCTTTGATTTTTTATCAGCCAAAATTTTACATTTTGTAGTTTTGGTTGTTATGGGTTTATGGTGCTCTTACCCTGGAAGTTGTGAATTTAAGAGTTGTGTCCTGCTGTCTTTGTATTGTATTGGTTCCTTCGCTAATGAAATATATATACGTATATTTTCAAAAGTTTTTTTTTTTTTTTTGGGTATGAAATTGACTTAATCAGTTGTGATTATGGGTATCTTAAAATTGAACTGGTTTGGGAATGGGCCGATTACTTGGAAAATTAACTTGCATATAATTCTGAATGAATACAAATTTTGTTCAAACTGAGTAAAATTATTATGTGTGATTATCACATTTGTATATTCAGGACTTGAATTTGAGACTTAATTAAGTTGAATACTTAAAATAAAGGATTAGACTACTGTGGTGTGCGCTTAAATTTTTTGCTTAGAAAGGTAGTTGAAGTTGTTAATTCCTTTGTTGAGAGTTTACAAGGATGTTTACAAGTTATGATTGGGCCTGGGGAACCGGAAGGGAAAGGCATGGAGGCCCAAGCCCAATACATAAATTGGTTTAAAAGATAGCTTCCGACAATACCAATGGTGGTTGTTTAGAGAGAATACAAAAGAGAATGTGAGCTTGTGGTGAGGAGTGATAGTTGGATGGGTATTGATGTCCCAATGTGAGTCTCTCGTATCAAACACCATTCTCTCACCTTCCATATATTTTTATATTCTCTCCATACATTCATCATATATATATATATCTTTCTTCAAATCTCCGGCATACCCTTTTGGCCGGAGATGAGTAATAATGATAGTAATTGGGTGTTGGATTATGATTACCTAGACAACATTCCCCTCCCTACCCTTGACCCACCCAATTTCTCTTGGTCCTCCTCTCCTCCTCCCACACTCAGGTTACTCCATGCTTCTAACTAGTTTTTTTTTTTTTTTTTTTTTTTTTTTCCAAGGCTTCATTTTGCCTTGTACCTTAGCATCACTACATTATATATATAACACTGTTTTGGGAACGAATTACCATACCCTTATGTTTCTACTCATTTCTCCCTGCTTCTCTTTGCATGCTTTTCTCTCTTTTTGTGTATGTCTCGGTAAACTTTTGTAGAGAAGAAGAAAATAATGTTTTCATAACTTTAAATTAACTTGCACATAAATTAGAAAACACATTTTAGAAAAATTAATATATTATTTTTTATAAATTAGTTTATGTATAAATTAATTTTAGATTATTTTTAAATTTTTTTATAGAGAAATATGTGAAAACAAACCTTTTCCTTCTTACAGTTTACTGTCTTTTACTCAATAGTGCATTCAAAATTTTCGTCTGTGAAAATTATTCTATTAAAATTTTCATGCAACAGGTAATGTGGATGGAAACTAATCAAATCCTTACTGGACTTTCTCTTTTGTAATTAATTTTTTTGATATTTTAACCCCTCCAAGAAAAAACTGATTTATTTTTCTATGGTGAATTTTGCAGTGTGGAGCTAGATGACTCATTTAGAAATTCGGATGGTTTCAAGGAAAATGGGTCAAGAAAACGGTAAGCTATTCCGTTATGCATAATTGTTATCTCAGAGTCTTGTTTCAATATTAAATCGAATAGTTTGCTCCACGGCAAGCTGTGAATCTTTTGTGCACGTGAGATCCTTCTCTGTTTCTACTATCATCTGAGTTTGTTCATAAAATTCTATCACAGTTTGAGGTCATCTGGTTCCAAAGCATGTAGAGAGAAAATGAGAAGGGATCGACTGAATGACAGGCATCTCTAATTAACTTCATTCATCTTTGCTCTAATATCTCTCACGTGACTTGTTCTCATTCTGAACATTGTTTTTAATTAAGGTTTTTGGAACTGGGGTCTATCCTGGACCCTGTAAGGCCTCTCAAAATGGACAAGGCTGTTATATTAAGTGACGCAGTTCGTTTGGTGTCTCAGTTAAGAGAGGAAGCTCAGAAGCTCAAAGACTCCACTGAGACTCTACAAGACAAAATCAATGAATTGAAGGTCTGTATGTATATGTAACTGCATAAAATGCTACTTGGCATGCACATTCTAGTAACACACTCATCACATTCTTTTACTTATACTTTTTATTATTCACAGAAATTTAAGTTAAATAAATTTTTTTCTCTTAATTTATTTAATTTGATCTCTTAATTTTTTTAAAATGATGCAATATGCTCATTTCCGTCTAATTAAGAATAAGAATGATGTTAAATTTTTACACACATAACCATATATGTCATCTTCTTATTGTGATACTCATGTACAGATAAGTTAACATCATTAGTCTCAATTGAACAGAAAAAACCAGATTGCATCATTTTAAAAAGTTAAGAGAACAAATTAGATTTTCTAATAATAGAGGGACAAATATGAACAAATTACATAAATCAAGGGACCAAAAGAGTAATTTAATCCGAAATTTATTACAAAATTATAAAACTTTGTAAGTTACACTTCTTATTTAATGAGTTTTAGTTTCACTAGGAATTTTGTAGTTTCTAGTAAAATTTGACCAATGATATTAAGGGTGTGTTACTAACACTCTTGTTTGATTATACAAATGATGGTGAACATTGAACACTCACTACCTATGACGTTAACTTTTTTGGTGTTTGTATAGGCTGAGAAAAATGAGCTTCGTGATGAGAAGCAGAGACTAAAAGCAGAGAAAGATAACCTGGAGCAGAAGCTTAAAGCCTTGAGTTCACAACCTAGCTTCTTTCCTTCGCTTCCTGCAGCAGGACAAGTTGTTGGTAGCAAACTGGTGCCCTTCATGGGCTACCCAGGAGTTGCCACGTGGCAGTTTTTACCACCTGCTGCTGTTGATACCTCACAGGATCATGTACTCAGGCCTCCAGTTGCATAACTTAGCAAAGGCTATGTGTTTTGGTCCAATTGAGAAAAGGAGTTTATCTTATCATTTGTGTTATTGCTTTTGCTTATGTGAAATGTAGAAAAGAAAAGAAAATCTTATTGATTATAGAGGCAACTTTTTGATAACTACAGTAAGTTTTGTTAAAATAAATTTTTCCATAGTATTTATGAGAGAAAAAAAATAAAGTAAAACGAATTAAATTTTTTTGGTAAGTTAAAATTAATTTATGAACATCATTTTTTGAAAAAGTTGGATAAGATGGTTTAAGTGTATAAATTGATTTTAACTTAAGAAAGAAATTCATTTCATTATCTTTTTATTTTATTTTCATCTTTTACAAGTATTTTGAAATAAAGACTGTTAAACAACAGATACTTTATTTTTTCTGTAATTCTTCCATTTTGATGTTGGTTCATTGATGACCTCTTCAATTTGCTTATTAGTTATTTTGAAAGAAATTGCCCTTTTATTTTGCTCCGCAAGAAAGATGCAACAAAGTTAATTGGCATCTTTTTATTCACGCGAATTTTAGGATGTTTTTATATGTTCTTGCGCGCAACATATTCGAGGATATCATAATATTCAAGCATGTCCTCAATTTTAACCTCAATTTAAAATGCTAGAATAGAAAACCAATATTGGATTGATAATTACTTATTGATGTATGCAAACAGAAATTGATCTAACAAAACTGTTTTTGTCAGGGTAGTATTGTTTGAAATATGAATAGAGAAGAAAATTTGGGAGAGAAATTATCCATTCCATTGACTTGAGAAGGTAAGAGGTATTTGAACCGATGACAGAATCGAGTATCCCACACCACATAGTTCCAGTGGAATGTTTCCCTGCATAGTTTGAACAACTGATTTAAAGAATCCTCTTTCAAATGTATACAACATGAAAATATTAATAAAATTTAATTGAAATACACTCGGCATGCCAATCAAATCAAACATCGAGGTCAATAAATTTGTTAATATATACAAATTTGACTAAAAATAATTAAGGATATATATATATATATATATATATATACATACTAATTAAATTAATTTTAAATTAACAAATATTTTAAGTTACAATTAATAATATTACATTATTTTTTATAATTAATATTAATGAATATACTATTTACTTATCTTCTTTATACATTTTAATTTAGTTTTTATAAATTTATTATATTCTTTATTTGGTCCTACATGTGTAATATAGTTTTAATTCTTATTTTAAGAGACTAAATTAAGAATATGTTATATGTATATGTTTCAGTATGAAATTTCTTCTAAGAAAATTTAAAGATTGTTTTAATCTAGAATATTGTATAAAATTGATCTTTTTATAAGATTTAGGAGCTTTTATATACAAATGAAGGTGATCTTTTGGACATAAATCCCTTATTTCTTGTAATAATTTCATAAATCATGTTTCACTATTAATATTAATAGGCCCATAAATATAAATATTTATAAACCTTAAACTCTAAATCTTAAATTCTAAACCTTAAATAAACATTATCATGTCTATTTCGTAAATTATGATGTCTTATCTCCAATAAATTGTAACGAAAACGATTTAAAAATTGAGATAGTCTTGTCATATGACACATTTTATAAGTTGGTCAATTATCAATTGAAGAACCTACTCAATTGACTTAATTAATTATGTTAGAACTAAATTAAGAATGCGTAAAGAGTTAATGATAATAGAGATAAAATTAATAATATTCACCGCATATATAAACTAAATTGATTATATGTAACGTATAAATATTAAACTATATACTTAATTTAAAAGACAAATGATAACAAGAAACATGTTCATTGTTTAACCATGATAAATAGAAAAAAAAAATTTACCTGTTCATATATTTTTTTGCCACGAAGAAAATAAATAGAGAAGAAACAAACCAAATCAAAAGTAAGACAACCAATTTGAATTAATTGATCCTAAATTTACTATTTCCTTGAAAAATCACGAGAGACACTTCAATAACTTGTTATCCCATGAAAATAATTTTGTGGAAAATATTTATAAGAAACAATGTTTACCTAAAATGTTATTCTTGTACCAAACACTTCCTATAAGTAATCATTGTATAGATTTGATTTGATTTTTCACATTATCATTTAATTTTATGTTGATGTTTCTAGGAATTTAGAGTTGATGCAAAAGTTGACGACAATGTTGCAAACAGATATCTTAACTATCCAATTTGTATATTTCCTATAGTATAATTTAATCACGAGTTAAATCCATATTTTCTCCTTGAAGTGTATTAGAAAAGCACTTACAGTTAAGTGACATCACGTATCCTCTCAATTCTTATGGAAAGAATTTACCTGTTTATTTTGATCAAAACTCCAGGCCCGCCAAACATGACATCTTTTTATTCATATGACTTTTATGTTTTATGATGTTGTTGCGTGTGACAAATAAATCAAACATGTGCTCAATTTTAACATCAAGTTTAAATGCTAGGATACATATGTGGTAATACATAGAAGGAGTTAGGTCCTCTCCACCTAGTTACATTGTAAAGTAGGACGTGTATCTCTCACTCTTGAAGTAGAAGGTTCAACCGTCTAGGTTATAGTCGATTGATAACTACCTATGATCTAACAAAAGTGTTTTAACAGGGTAGTTTGAATCCCATATATTCCCCTGATTCATAGGCTTCCCAGACCTTTATGGCTCCAAAGCTAGTCATTAGAACATTACTTACACACATTACTATACTAACCGAGAAAACTATTATAGAGGCTCTTCCATACTCTCGAATTGTTCTCTGTACCACTAATAACCCAATAAGTGAAGCAACAAAACATATTATGGCCAAGATGAGGGCAGCTTGTACATGTTCCATCCCCAACAACAGATATTGCAATGCTGACATGGTAGAAGAAAAGAGAACCATGAAAGAACACGTTGCTGATGTTACCTATACACAAATAAAAGAAAAAGTATTTGGTAAATACTAGTAATTAGTAATTACCAGCCACTATAATCAACAACAATAATGCTTATAACGGAGGAACTTACCTCAGGAGCTATTCCAAACTGAAGAAGAAGTGGACTTATTAGCATTCCACCTCCAATTCCAAAGACACCACCTAATACCCCTGCTAGTAGTGCCATTAATGGAAAAACAAGCTTACTTCTGGTGAGACCCGGCACCTTCTTATCAGTTAGCTGAAATGAAAGCATATTCAAAGAGTATGTAAGTAACTGAAGATTAGAGAAGAAAAAACTACTTTTCAATCTGTGGTGTTTAAGAACCTCTGGAATGAGAGTTCGCTCTCTAAGGCTCTCTTTTCTAAATACAATCCAAGCAGTGAAAACCACAGCAAGTGGTATTTGAATTGATGACAGAATCCAGTATTCCACGCCACATGGCTCCATTGAAATGATTCCCTGCATAGTTTGAACAACTCGTCTTAAAGATCATCCGTCAAAGTTCAAATGTGCTATTTGAAAATATTAATAGAACTTAATTAAAATACATTTAAATCGTAATTCTTTTTTATACCTTAATCTATATAACTATTAACTAATCATAAATTATAATATAATTGAATATTAAATTGTGTAATAACTTCTTTAGAAGTTATATATAAGATAATTTTTAATTGATTTTTTTTGCAAAAATAGTATCAAAATTAAATTCAATACTAATATTTAGACAAATCTAAGTATATATAGGAATAACAAAAGAAATAGAATTCACGTCGAAGTTGCTTTATGCAATATATTAATTATATAGCATCGCTTTTATTCCCAAGTTTTACAAGGGAAGATTGAAGCTTGAGATAAAACCAATATGTCAGTATTTATGAATGGCATGGCAACCAAATAATCACTTAGTCAACCATCTTTAATATTTACTTTACCAAAGTTTGTGGATTGAGTTTAGTGCTATTTATCTTTAACCATTTTTGAAAACAAATCTTTTTTCATTGGTTACTCTGTTAAAAGTTGCATATAAGCTATAACGGTAAAGATTGAATATCGTATTTTTTAGCAATGATAATTTTCACAACTTTAATTTAGTGTAATTAAGAAGAGGTTGCAGATGATCTCATCATGGTAGACATTAAAAAAATTCTTTTATTAGTTACTCTATTAAAAGTTGTATACAAACGAGAATAGTAAAGAGTGAATACCACATTTTTGGCAACGACAATTTTTATAACTTTAGTTCCTTTCATCAAAAAGGGCAAAAGGAAATAGCAAACCTTATACAGATCATAAGTGTTATATTGATGCATCAAACACATATTGCGAAATTTGTGAAAAATAGTAACAGAAGTAAAAGCATGACGAGGCTTTGAAAAAATTTTGAAAAAATTTCACAACTTATAAAGCTTCAAAATTGTGAGATTTCTTCAAAGCCTCATTGTACTTTTGGTTCTGTCACTATTTCCCACAAATTTCACATCATGGGCTTTAAGCATCAATATGACACTCATAATCCCTTGAAAGCTTGCTCTATCCTTTTGTCCTTCTTGATGAAAAAAATTAAAGTTATATAAATTGTCTCCGTAAAAAAGTGGTATATTTACTTCTTACCATTATGGTTTGTGTGCAATTTTTAATAGAATAACCAATGAGAAGATTTGCTTTTTGAACTTTTGTCATGATGAGGTCATTTTCTACCTTTTCTTAATGACACTAAACAAAGGTTGTAAAAATTGTCATTGTCAAAGACAAGGTATTCGCTATTTACCATTTTGGTTTGTGTACAACTTTTAGTAGAGTAACAAATTAATGAGATGATTTTTTTAACGTATATAATGGTGAAGTCATCCACAACTTTTTCTATAATCAGATCAATAACAAGATATAATATAATACTCCTCTTTAGAAAAATATGCCTCTCATTAACAAAATATACAACCAACAACCCATACAAACAAACAACAACAAAAATACAATACAATGATAGATTATGTCAAATGGAATGTCAGGTTCTTTATTTGAAAAGAAGATTATTGAGATACAAATAATGTCATATATCATTAAAATAAGAGAAAAAATAAAAATTTATTAAACACATACTATATTAAAAAAAGTCTTTTGAGTGATGATAAAAAATAAATCTAAGGATTTACATTCAACTTGATGACCAGAATAAAAATAATGAAAAATAACTTTTAAAAGAAAAGTGTGAATATACCTAAATATTCTTAGTTTAAAAAAGAGAATAAATTAATTTTGATAGAAATTTTTTTATTTATGCTTCAAATATTTATATTTAATTTGTTTGAATATTTTATGATTTGTTTATTTATTTTTAGGGTAGGAATATATGATTTTGTATCATAATTTTTTTTATATATAGATAACTCATGAATAAAAATATGTTCTTCACAAATATATCTTTAAAAAATATAAATATCATTAAAAAAGGACTTTGAATTTTAAAATTCAAAAGAAAGGAAAAGAGGACAAAAGGAAGTCACAAACTTTGATTTGGTAAACTTGATGAGGTACTTCTGCTAACTGATCATATGCCTAGCTAACTGCACCTTAATAATAATTCATATTATATGTTCAGTTCCAATCTCAGTTTGTCAATTAAATCATGAACACAGATTAATAAATTATAAATCCATTATTGTATAAAAATTATAATAACAACAGGCAGGCTCACTGTTTGAGCAACTCATTTTAGAAAATAAAAGTAATCTCAGTCCAACAGTTAATATTATATGCACAACAAAATTTAAACATGTTAAAATATTGACAATTTATTTTCTTACCGATAACTAAAAATATTTATTTTACTACCCTTTACTTTAGAGGCAGTGAAGAAGAGAAAAAGACAATTTACCTGTCCATATCTGTTGCCACGAAGAAGATAAACAGAGAAAAAAGAGAACCATATCAAAAGTAAAACCACCAATTTCAAAAGAGGGATCTTCACTTTGGTTTTTCCCTGGGGAACCAGAAGAGGTACTTCAATACTTTTTAGCTCATTGTTTTCTTTGTACACACGCGCCAACACTTTCCTTTCTTCAACACTTTCATTTTCTAGCAGCCCCTTTTCAAGTTCCTCAAGTCCATTTTTCCCCATCTCTTCTGATTCAGCCTTCCAAAACAGCAACCCACTTTTGCAAGTTTTTGAGGTAGACCAAGCTAGAAAGATGGCGAAAAGTACTGTGATCAACCATTCTGGGAATACAAGGTTGCAAATAACTCCGAGACTCACTCCCAGCAACATACAAGGTTGTGATGAAAGAGCTATGTCATAGTCAATCAATGACTTGCCACCGAATTTAGGACTTGTGGTGCACATGTTGCATATAACGTTTGCAATAGACCCTCCAGTGACCATAAAAGCTGAGAGGCTTGAAGAAGTTTTGAGGTCTAAGCCAGCCACAATACATAATATGGGTATAAAAAGGCCACCACCACCTACTCCACCAGCACTAGATATAACAGAAGCTATGAAGCACAGGACTCCAGCAAACACCAAAGGTCCTGAAATAAGTATCTGAGATTGTGCTTCACCTCCCCATACATAAATTTTCTCTAGGAAATGGTCAATATTGAGTATATCTGAAAAGGGTTGTGTTTGGTTTGCATTTGAAGGATTGAAGGCAATGAAAGTGAGAACCAGAAGTGCAAGAGTTTGAGTCCTCATTTGATTTTGAGAGTTTCAGCAATGGTATAAGGAGTGCATGAACTGGGATCATTATGCCTTTATATAGGGACATGCATGAACTGTTAACAATGCTTATGTTGGAAAATAAAGCGCATAGCATTTCTTTTTTGTATACTATAATTATTGTTTCACCTTTACCTGTTTCCATATTTAAGAGACATTTTGTTGTTTGAAAAAGAACATGACAGGAATATAGATAACATTTTGGTAACATCTCTGAGGAGTACGATAGTGAAACACACAAAAATTAATATGAGGAAGGACAAGTCACAAGATGTTTAATATTATAAAGTAGGGCTAACGCGGAAAATTTACATTTGTAGACCAAAAATAAAAATCAACTGTCATCGTCCACTTGGAATAGTACAACAATGTGTTACGCAAAATATAAAACCAGAGATAATTTAAATTTGGCTACCTGACATAAAGATCTCTTTCTTTATGCTAAGGATAAAGTTCTCTATAGTTAGTCAATAGTTATGCATGTAAATAATAAACTAATTCACCTTTTAGTAATTACAATTATTTTCTTTGCGAGACTTCATATTGCGTGAAATCAATCTACTATTTTGGGAGTTTATAATTTTTTTTAGTTAATTACGAGGGAGTATTATATTATTTAAGTTAATCATGAGGGTAGCATGTAAAAATGCACATCAAAATAATAAAAAGAATAGAATATTAAAAACGTCTAATTAAAAGAATAAATTTAATATATATATATATATATTAACATATATTAAAATATTTCTATTTCTAAAATACATCATTTACTCTAAATATTCAAAATTCATAAATATAAACAAGAATTAACAAAGGAATTATAAAACTATATAGTGTCGGAATACAAATAAGAACGCATCATTAGAACAAAAAGAAAAATAAAAGTTCATAATACATATATTTTATTGAATTAAGGCCTTTTGAACAAAAGTAAAATTATGAAAACTTAGATACAAAGTGAACAAATACTGAATTCATTGGCAACTAATAACCTTAACAAATTAAGTCCTATATTTGATTGTTAGAATACAAATCAAGTTTTACATATTAATAGAAGAAGAGAAATTAGAGTTTTCAAAGTACACAAATATTCCATATAATCCTATCCTAACAAAATATAACGATTTTCTCTTGATAAATACTTCATATAACCCTCCCCTAACAATATATAACTCTCCTCTTCCTAAATATATTTCCTTAAAGACAAATATCATAACATAATTCATACATCTTATCTTCATAAATATATCTCTCAAAACAAATATCATAACATAATCCTTATATATTCTTTTCAAAGATAAATATTATAATATAACCTTTATAATAATATGAGAGTGCATGTTAGATTCAATGAAAATCAATAAATCATTATTATAACAAAGACATGATATAATAATATATAAAGACAAATCGATTCTTTTTTGATTTTTTTTTCGACCGCACAAGAGAATGAATAGATTGCAATTGCAGAGTGATTCCGGAATCACGTGTTTTCCGCAACATAACGCCGTAACGGAACCGCTACGCCTACAATTCCGGCGGGAGGGAAGAGGGAAAAGTATGGGTTAATGGGTTATAGGCATAGGAAAGAAAATTGCTAAATTATAGATAACATAACTAATCTTATGTATCTTAATTCTTATTTTTCAAACAATTTATTTTAAATTTATGTCACAATTACTTTATTTTTTTCTACTTTTTTAAATTTATTTACATTTTTTATTATTTTATTATAAATTTATTCATTAAAATAATACAAAAAATTTTAAAGAAAAAAGAAAAAAAAATGTATACAACCTTATAAACATGCATAACATAAATAAATAATTATAACATTTAATTTATCATAGCAATTAGAATCACAGATTTAACACAAAAATACTTTTATGATTTCTTTTGATTTTTAATTAAGTCTTTAAATTAAAAAGTTGCAGTTAAATTTTTTTACTTTTCATAATTATTGTAATTATATTGAGTTCTTGAACGGATAAAATTAGTAAAACTGTAATAAATGGTTATTTTTGTAGCAGTTTTAAATTGTCAAAAGTTAACTCTTGAGAATTATAATTACAAAAAATTTGAAGTTGAAGAACTTTTAAAATAAAGTTCATGGGTAAATTGATATATTAGATCTCAACTAATTCGTTAAGTGATAACATAATTGTAACAAATGATAGATATCAGATATAAGTGTTAATACAAATAATTCAATATTCGCGTTTGTTAATCAAAAACTCAAGTTCTTCAATTTGAGCAAGAACGGTGAAATCTGGTGAGAGAAAATAATTATAACTTAATTATATAAAAATATAATTATCAAAATAAAATTAATTAAACAGCTTTAAGTATAAAGAGTAAATTTTAAATTTTGTCAAATTTAAAATGGAATTATTTAAGTAAGTGTTTATTCAGAAAAATATTAAATGATAAATGTTTACAAGTTTGACAGTAAAGTTTATTAGAATAAATTAGAAGAAGTTTATTTTGATATATAAAGCTTATTATCTATAAAATTTGTTGAAGTAAATTTAAACAAACTTATAGAAAGTCACAAATGATTTTTATAAATTCAAATAAATTCTTTTGAATGTACGCCTATTATCTTCTTCTCCTGCATGACATTAATACATGGCTAAAGGTTATTTAAATAATTTAATTATAATTATTTTATAATTATGTTTATAAGTAGTTATTAAAATTTAATCATAATTAGTTTTAATAATCAGTTTCAAATTTTTAATAATCGGTTATAAATTTAAAATCATTTATATAACTGGTTTTGAAAAACAATAATAATAATTTTATATCTAATACACTCTTACAATAATTTTATATTTTAACAATTTTATTATATAAACTAGTATAAATGATATTTCGTGTCTATGTGAATTTTATTAAATTATAATAAATAATAAAAATAATTAATGTTAAATATGTGTGAAAAATTAAAGATTAAATAGTTTGAACAGTTTTGAGTAATTATTCAAAAAATGTGAGATGTTTACAAAATAAAGTTATAAAAAAAATAAAAAAGTATAAAAAAGAATATGATATTTTAAAAATTAAGGATAAAACAATCAATAAAATATGTACATCAAAAAATTGTCCTCATTAAATAATATATATTAAAATAATTATTTTGAACAATAGTATTTTTAAAAATTATTGTTCAAAAAAGTATTTTTAATTATTTTTCTTCAATAAATTTTTTTTGAGAATTTTCTTTTAAACTAACATTTTTAATATTTTGTTTTTATTTTTAAATTAAATATAAATATTTTAAAATAAATTATCAATAATTAAAACAATTTTTTTATAATTTAATAACAATATTTATTTAATATTATTTTCAATTAAAATATTTATATATTGAAAAGTATTATTATAAATTTTAACTAAATGAAATAAAAATTTATCATGTTGATTAATTGCAAAAGTTAATTTTTTAATAGTTAAAATTGGTTGTAAAAAAATAGTTATAATTTATAAAAATTTAATATATATAATTAATTTTTATAACTATTTTTTAAATAACTGATTAATTATAGTTATAATTAATTTTTTTATAATCAGTTATTTCTAGGTAATGGAAGCATTCATAAAAAAAAATGTTACATCATTAAAAAATTATGGATAAAGGAACTTTATAGGTTTGTTTAATTTTTTGCTTGTGCTTTTCAAGATTAAAAGGCTCTGTCAAGCAGTAGAGAAAACGATATGACAACTAAATTTTAAAATAAGTTGATGAAGATGGAATATTTTTCAATTTTCCACTTGATGAAAAGAATCACTGAAGTAGTGTATAATTAAAAATGGGGCGAGGGAAATGTTAAATATATCTAGTTGCACACATATCATTTTTATCTCCTATTTTAGTCCACAACTGTGTGCTTTTGTCTCATTGTCTGAAAATTATCCACTCCTTTCTATAATATATATTTTTAGATCTTCTTAATATTTTATATGAAAATATTAAATGTAAAAGTTACTATATCAAATATTGAGAAATGATCATGCTGTAACCAGAGAATGGGTCAAAATTATGTTGAAGAAGCTTTTAACACGTGTTCGTATAATTTCCTAACCCAACTTTCTAGATATTTAAACTCAAGCTGAGAGGTATTGTTACTTGAAATTTCCAAGTGCTCCGGAAGACTTAAATCATAGTTTGTATTCTGTAACATCGGTGCTAGATACCTACAAATAGATTAATATATCTATCTATAGTTTTTATAAAATTTTAGGACAAAAATGTTATATTTATTTATATAATTATTCTCTATTTTTATCCGTATCACGAGCCATTGGTAGGATTCTCGGGTGAAAGAGTGATGACGAGAGGGTGCATTGATCTATACACTCGTTTTGGCTTCAACCAAAAGACTTTCTGAGAATTCAAAATCCGTTTCATTGTGGTGCACGCCAACACATCTTACACCATCCTGTTAGGCCAACCCTCCATTAATGCCCTTGGGACCATTGTCTCAACCCCTCACCTATGCATGAAGTTCTCATCGAGGGATGGGCAAGTGATAACTGTACACGCCGACCAAAAGACAGCGAGGGAATGCTACCTTTCTAGTCTGAAGGTGCAGCCCATTGCCGACCCTCCGGCGACAAAGGGTGTCAATGTAGTAAGGCAGGAGATGATGGACGACATCAACCTTGACCCTCGGATAGGTGAAGAGGAGCGAATCGAGCCGGCGGAGGACCTCATTCCCTTTCAGCTCGGCTGAGCACCCGAGCAAATTACACACATGGGATCCCAACTAAGCGAAGCCGAATCAAACCGGGTGAAACGCATTATTCGTGATAACAAAGACTTGTTTGCATGGATGGTGTCGGACATGCCAGGAATAAATCCCAAGTTTCTTTGTCATCGGCTTGCCGTATGCCGATACGCACGACCGGTCGCTCAAAAGAAAAGAAAAATGAGAGATGAGAAGAGAAAAGCGGCGAATGCTGAGGTGCAAAAGTTGTTGCAAGCCAAGTTC